GATACTACTTTATATAATAATAAACCTTACTACAAAGCCTGTACTAGTATATAACAACTCGCTTAACAGTTAAGCTCTTCTCCTATTTTCATTCAAAAACTTTAACAAACAATTAGCTCTTACAATCCACTTGCATCTGAACTTACCTTTACAACCTCACCTAACAACAACAGCAATACTACAAATGATATAAATCTTGACAATAATACTACTAATAACAATAACAACCAACAGTATTAATAACAATATCAACAACCATTATACCAAAATCCACCTCACTCTAATAAACAACAGCAACAACAGCAACAAACAAGTAAACAACAACAACAGTAACAAACAAGTAACCAACAACAACAGTTAATACAAACTAATACCACTACCAATCAACTAAAAATTAAAACCAACCTAATATTTGACTGGCTTGCTAATTTTCCAATTTCTGATGCTATGAAGGACAAATCACAACTTCAAACAGAATTTTCAAGAAAAATTTTTAACTTTCTCAAATTCTACCTACATGATTTCTATTCTGGTAAAGAAATCAAACCTGAAACTCCCAAGCAAAAGGCCTTCAAAGCTAGCTTTTATCACATCATCCACAAAATGGCTGAAAACAGATCTGAATTTCTTACTGAATTTATTCAAAAAACCAACACCAATACTGACAAAATAATTACTATTTCTTTCAATATACTTGAAGAAACTCTTAAAAAACTTATTCTAGCATTCACAACAATTCTTTTCACAAAACTTAACTATTCCAAAATCTTTGCCTTCTTAGCTAATATTTTCCCATATACCAACCAAAACTGCATCTAACTTTGTATTAATCTGGCTCATATTCACTTATATCTTTCAAACAATTATCAAGCAATTGATTACATCAAATTTGCTAAAGACTTTTAACTTTGACCTAAAGGATTTAACATTATATTAAAAGTATCTAACTATAACAAAAAAAAGCAATATATCATAATTAGATCTGATAGCAAATTTAATATCTACCTTGATTTTAATATTCCAAAAACACTATTTTACTAAAAACTAAACATTCCATCTCTTGCAAATTCTTTAGATCATTTAAAACAATAGTTTAAACAATTTTTTCTAATATACAACTGACAATTTACTCAAACATTAGATAAAACCAAAGTATTTAACTTCTTAAAATACCAAATCTGACAGAAATTTATTTCATCTTAAAGAAACCTTACCTACTAAAATACAATTTCAACAACCTTAAAATTTATAAGAACATCAAAATAAAACAATAAAATCAGCTAACTTTCATTTTTTTACTTGCACAGATAAAACTTGCTCATACTTAAAAAAAACAGAACCCAAAAACAAAAGAACCAGAAAATACAAACCCATCTACTACAACTTCCAACCTTCAATTTTAATATAACTTCATACAATTACTAAATAATATTTTTAAAAAATCATATGTAGACTTTCCAAAACAAGAAAATAAAATTTGAAAACAACCTGAAATTGACCTATCTATATTCTATAAAAACAGCAAACATGAAGCATCCTTTAACAAACAAATTCCTACATCTTTCCTTGATGAGCTTGCAACAGAAATGAAAAAATCTGCTTGCAAAATCAACAATGTTTTAACCAACTCCAAACATCACAGCTACTATTTTTATTTATATCTTAATTTATATCAAAACATTGCAGCACAAAACTATCATATTGACAAACTCGACAAACAAAAAGCAGTAGAACTCATTACCTCTAAATCTACTAGCACTGAACTATTGGCAAGAGCTTTGATATTTTTTAACTCTCTTAACAAATCTCTAACATATTCACAAATCAATACTTATTACCAAGAAACTGCCTATCCAGAAGCAAACAAAATATTACAAGACAAATTTAAAATGTCATACTCAATACTTTCCTTAATTGAAGAATCTCTCTTCCTTAAGAAAACTCTTTTTTAATAAATCTGTTTTCTACAAACCTTATAAATGCAGCTGCCATTTTGTCAAGAGATACACCCTTAGTAGTTGGCAAAGAAAATGATGTAAGTAGGCAGGTGGTAAAGCCATTTATGTAAAGGGCCAAGTTAATGATAGTCAGACCCAATATACAGGGTAGACTATAGTACTCTCCACAGCTGTGCAAGCCAAGCTTCAAATAGTAAACAACTCTGTAAAAGACAATCCAACCTTTCATGTTCCTGTTTTAATACTTCACCTCCTGCAGGAACAAATACATGTTATACCAAATTTCTAATACTATACAACCTAGCCATCATATACCACTATATAACATTTGGTGAATTTCTATTCTATCTTCGAAAACATTCCTTCAAACATGCTTTAATATATCTATTAATCACCTGAAAGATACAATCTTATTTAACAGACTACATTACCTAATCCTTCTCTATTTTCAACCTCCAGAAGTTAATGCTTTTGCATATAATACTTTACCAATTAAGAAAAAACTCAAACCTTGGCTACTTACCTACAATAATAATAATGAAGAGATCATTATTGGCAAAATTCACAAATATTTTTTTAACACAAACCAGTTCTCTATCTTACATTAGAATACGAATATTGATTTAGAACATAATCACAATTACCTATTTCCAAATTTAGACTGCACATCATATACCAGATGTCAGCAGGTCTGGAGCATCTGTATAATCTCGGTTATACAAAGAAATGCAAGCTCACTTGGAAATTCTGAGCAGAAAGGTAGCATGGATCTTTGACAATACTCTATAAAGACTAGACTTAGAAAATAAATACTAATGTAAAGAAATTAGATAGGTAAGAATCTTGGGTAAGAGGTACTACCAACCAGGCCACTAGATTTCAGACTAGAGAAAAAGGACATTGGGCTGGCCTTAATATACCAAGAACAGATTACAGTCCTTCTATGCTATCTGGATTAAAAGTTTAAGATTAAAGCAGAGATATACTATGAAGTCAGTGCCAGGATCAGGTAAATTCTATAATGATAGCCTTTGTTGGTGTTTTAAAAGTAGGTAAATAGTTAACAATAAAGAGCCCACTGTGTCTTACTAGCAGATAACTTACTCTGAAATGTGTAATGGGCTAGGAATCAGTACAGAAAAGGTAGATACTATATTGCTTAGTGGTATACTGGTTAGGTATATATAAGGGGTTAGTTAGAGTTATATTATGACAAAACAGATAATCAGAGGGTTTAAATAAATAATCTTCTAGTAGGTTATAGATATAGCATCTAGTATAAAACCTTAAAGTGAACTACTTAAATAGGCAATCAAAAGTTGTATATATAACTAGTTGTATTCTCATCTCTGTAAAAATAGTTGTAATAACTAACTCAATATAAGTTAATAAAGTATGGCCACAAAGTATAACCTTAACAAAAAAAAAGATTTTAATAAAATATATATATCATATATGTATACTAAATATTATAATTTTTTAAAAAAAAACACCAATTGGCACTAATAAAAATTATAAGTATATAAAATTCAAATGTTAAATTTTCTAATAATATAAAATAAAAAATTATTTATTATTAAAATTCTTAATTTTTAACAATTTTTTCTTATTGTTAAACCAGTCTTTTTGGAGGCTAGAGCATTTTATTCAGTAGTTAGGATATAAAAACTCATGGCTAAGACCTCAAAGAAGTCTTCTTATATTAAAGAATACAACTAGCTATATGTACACTTTTGGTGTCTAATTAAGTAGTTTGCCAATAGTTTTATACTAGCTACTATATCTGCAATCCAACTAGAAGCATTGTTTATTTAAACTTTCTGTACTGCAATCTTTACTGTATCACTAGATCATCTACTATATAAGTTAATCAAGAAGTTCTAGATACTTATTTGTACTCTTAGAACCTTATATCTTATTTTATATAGTGTATTCTTAGAAGCATTATTACTAAAGTTTTTTATATTCTATATACAATGTTGTAGTTGGGAAGAGCCTTTCTTATACATTGCCGGTTTTAGCACAGCACTACAAGCACAGATGTGGCCTCAATTTAGCCACAGACTAATTAACAGGGCTAGTCTGGAGTGGTCTCAATTACTGGATTATTGGTAGGTCGTTGTAGGTCATGTGCCAAATACTAGGGGTTGCTGGTTTCTAAGTAACAGTGTGGGTAATAGGGGGGGTCAAATGCTAGGCTACACTATGCAAGAATATCGCTTATCGCTTTGCCACTAGTAGAGTTTCAATTTATACTATCTACTTATTAATTTAGCAGAATGAATTCTTTATTTATTGAGCATACGCCCTATTTATACAAATTTTAGAGGTTGGGTCTCAAACCCTCTGCTGGGGTTTCAGACCTGTACCTGGGGTTAGAAACCCTAGATTAGGGTTTTGAACCTGATATTGGAGTTTAGAACCCTATTATTACATTATACTAACTACAAATTATACAATGCAGGTTTTGTACCTTATTTTGGGGTTTCGAACTCTAATACTATGCTATGCTAACTCATTTATGCAGACCATTTATAAGAGTTTTGAACCCTATTACTATGCTATACTAACTTATTTATGCAAACCATTTATGAGGGTTTCGAACCCTATTACTATGCTATACTAAAAACAGACAGCAGAAGAAAAAGAAAAAATAAAATGTACAGAGTTTTTTTCATAACATCTTTCCCAGATCAAAGAGTGAGCTCCTGTGAACTCAACACCATTCTCTGAATTTTTTCATCTCTTAACCTTCCTACTTCCACCAAAATCACCCTAGAAAAATCTCTCTTCAACATTCATTCCAGCACTGAAATTGATATATGTTGAACTCGACGCATACACTAGTCATCCCACATGGCAAACAACATGTATACTCACTTTGCAATTTTCTACACTAAGCCCATCCTGAAGGCCAGGAGTTGCTCAGCCAACTCCCTCCATGCTTCGTCATCCCATCCCTTTTCAAACAACAAGCTTCCTACTTTATAGTAGGTCTTCAATATCTTAGCTATCGATTAAGTTCTTGGATTCAAGTCTTCGATGTCACTACATACATTACTTAGTTTTTCGGCTCAGGTTTCTCCAGTGGCTTCGATAGGCATTGCAAGTTCAGTCCCTATGGGGTGGTCTAAGTCTTAGAGATACAGAGCCAAATGGTCATGTATTTGCTAAGCTTTGGTCCTTCTTTCCGTTCTCCCAAACTCTTCATGAATCTCTTGGTCCTAGTATCGAAAGATTATTTTCCCCTCCTTGACTTCTAGTTTTTTATCAGGTTCCATCTGGTTTACAAGTTGTTGGATTGTTTTTCTTAAAGTTTCAAAACATCATTCCATTCACCTTTTCTCTTTTTTTTTTTTTTTTTTTTTTTTTTTTTTTAATTCGTATTTATATATATATAAATTTTTTTTTTTTTTTATAATTTTACTATTACCTCATTCTGTCATCATTTCACGCTTTATAGCATTTTAATTGACTTCTGTGCATTGCCTCTTTTATCACCTTTTTATCATTTCTTATCATATGTAATTGATACATACTATTACCTATTACATCATGCACTCAGTATAGGTCTGACCACTTTTTCTCTAATTTACTGCCTAATTGTTTTCCCAGCTTGGTCTAGTACCTTAACACCTTATCTTCAATCCAGAAATTTTGCAAGGGGTATTGTTGGTCATGGCTCCACTTCTGTTTTTGTTAGGCCTTGCGAATGTTCTCACATGCCTTAATCCAAACTTCAAACAGTTTATCTACCAATTTTAAGGTTCGGGCTAAAACCATGGACTCATAGTAGTCATCATCTATAGAATCTATGGGGTAAGTTTTTAGCAGTAATTTTATAGATAACACAGCCTCTCTTTCATACATCAGGTAAAAGGGGTCATATTTGGTTATACTATGCTTGGCTGTTTTGCAAGCAAATAGGGCGGGGCTCACATATTCATCCCAGTCCTCCTGGTACTAACTTACGCACTTGGCTAGCACCTCACAGATGGTTTGATTGAACCATTCAACAAGACCATTGGTCTGAGGGTAATATGTGGATGAGAATTTGTGCTTAATACTGGCCCAGTTACAGGCCTCCTCTATAACCTGGTTTTTAAAATAGGTCTCTTGATCCGTCAAAATCTGTCAAGGGCAGCCATGTCAACCAATTATGTCTTCTAACATGAAGATGGCAACAGACTCTGCCATACAGTCAGGTAATGCTCGAACCTTTGGCCATTTCATCAAATACTCTATTGTTACACCAGATACCTGTTACCATTTCTCGTGAGAGGCAAGGGCCCCATTATGTCTATTTCTACTCGGTCAAAAGGTTGTGCCACCTGTATCGGGTGTAATGCTTCCTGTGTTTTTGGTTTCCTGCAGCATTGACAGGCATCACAACTCTGTATGTAGCTTTTGATATCCTCTATCATTTGATTCCAATAGTACTGTCTTCATGCTTTCTGTATTGTTGCTTCTTCACCTAAATAGCTGAATGTGAGGTTGTCATATAAAGCTCTCAGTACCATCCTTACTTCCTTACGCATTAGTACCCTTAAGGGTTGATCAGGCTCTTGATGGTTCTTTCGATACAGCACTTCTTCTCATACAATGTAACACTTGGACTGATTCCTTAACTTTCGGTTTTGTTTCTTTGAATATTTCTTAGGCAGCTCTAACTTAGTCAGGTACTAAATCAGGTTAGTATAAGCTTTGGGTTTCATCTTAAGGATTTGTTTAGCTTGTCAGTTTTTTATTTTTTATTTTTTATTTATTTTTTTTTATATATATCAGAACACCGTTATCTGGACTGGATTACAGATTTGGGGCAAGAATCTACTTATAATTGATTAAGAGCGGTTTCTGGATAATAGATTCAATTCACCTTAGATAGCTAGCTCGAAAGTCTCATATACAGTTGGGTTTCTCTCTTGGCTTATTTTTGCACCTCTTCCAGTTGTTATGTTGTTTCGCAGCCTGTTATGTTAGTACTTTTACCAAGCTATTGCTTTATGTGCCCCAGACCCCATACATAAATGTTATAGCCATCCCTTAATTACTACATCTGTGTATTGTTAATATTATGCTTATTATTACTTATTTATATACAGATATATATATATATAAATATATATGTATATATATTTTTTTTTTCACTTAGACTCTTCTACCCACGATAGACTGTCGACGTTCCCCAATTGTCTCCCAAGTCAGTACTTTACCACAAAATCATAGCCCCTGAAGAGTCATGATATATCTTGCCATCCTGCCAGTTGGGTTAACCATATTGTTAAGGTAAGTCAAAGCCATATGATCAGTTACTATTGTGAATTAGGATCTGTGAAGGTATTTGTGAAACTTCTTTATGGCCCAAATGATGGCGGTACACTCTAATTCAGTTATTGTGTAATTTTACTCAACAGGCTTCATTGATCAACTGACATACTCCACAATGCCTTCAAGCCTATTATCATCAGACTGAGATAAAACAGCACCAAGAGCAAGGTGCGATGCATCTGTGTACAAAACAAATTCAATGTCATCCTGAGGGTGAGTGAGGATGGGGGCTGAAGTGAGCCTACTTTTTAATTCATCAAATGCTTCTTGTTGTTCATTCTTCCATGCAAAATTTTCTCCTGTTTTCAATAGTTTGTAAAGAGGCATGGCTATACCCGAGAAATCTTTAATAAAGTGATGATAGACGCCAGCCAATCCTAGAAACCCTCTTAATGCATGAAGAGTCTTGGGTTAGGGAAAGTTACTCACAGCAGCTACTTTTGTTGTAGTAGGAGTTATACCTTTGCCAGAAATTTCATGCCTCAGGAACTCTATTCAGTCTTGTTCAAAATAGCACTTGTTCAGGTTCAACTTTAGATTCGCCTGGTGCAGTTTACTAAGAACAATGTCCACGTGGCTCAAGTGTTTTTCAAAGCTGGAGGAGTAGATGTTAACATCATCTATATAGGCCAAAGTGAAATCCCGCATCTCCTTTTGGAGTACATGATCCATTAATCACTGAAAAGTGGTGGAAGCATTTGTTAGACCGAAAGACCTCACTACAAATTCGTATAGCCTAAATTTGGTAGTAAAGGCTGTCTTTTTGCAATTATGTGGATGAACTCTGACCTGCCAGAATCCACTGGCAAGGTCCAGGGTTGTATATCAGGTCAAGTTCTTGAAAGCTTCCAATAACTCATTAATTCTAGAAAAGGGTAGCTATCTCATTTTGTTTGCTGATTCAGCTTCCTAAAGTCAACACACAGCCTCATCTTCCTGTTTTTCTTTTTGACCAATATGACAGGAGATGCCCACAGACTGCATGATGGATGAATTAATCCAGCTTCTTTCATTCTCTTTATTTCTTGGTTAATAAACTCATGCTTCACCTTGAATGTGAGTTAAAACCATTGCTTTACAGAAGGGCCTTTCTCTGTATGAATTTTATATTGCACAACAGATGTCCTATCTAGCTGGTCGGGTTCTCAAGCAAAGATGTCCTCATACTGACTTAATATCCCTTTCATTTGATCATGCTGTTTAGGAGTTATATCTTCTAACTTGAAATCATCTATCTTCCTTTCCTTTATATAGGTTTTTGCTTTTCAGTCCACAACTTTATTTTACATGCACTCTGATTTATAGTGTCCTTTCCTTAAGCACAATCTGCAC